CGCGTACCACAAAAAAAAAAAAAAAAAAAAAAAAAAAAAAAGTAAGTGAAAATCATCTAAGAAAGGCTAAAATAATCATTTGGTGAGAGGTCAAGAAAACTCATTTTTCAACATTTTTCTTACATGCATTTCTTCCAATCCTACCTTCCAGAACTCACTAACCAGTAATGAAATCCTCACTGTAGAAAGGGGAGAGTATAGGATTTCACTTTACCGTTGCAGGCACATCCTTTTCAAAAGTCAATCTTAAACAAGAGTGAATTCAATAATTTACTAGGTTCCTACTATGTGCCAAATGGTGCACTAGATGCCAAGAATAATGTAGGAAACATATTAAATAGATGCTGAAGTGAAGATCTAGAACATTTAACAGTTTTCAAAAAAATAATTAGGAACTCTAATTTTGTTCATACACATTCCTGAAGATTTTATATTGTTTTCTTAGAAATCTTCCTAACTATTGAAAACTATATTATTTCATATTATATTCAACCACATTATTTCATAAGTCATATTACTCTCTTGATAAGCATTTACTAAATAAGTTAAATGTGTTAATATTTTTGACATATTCAGAACAGTGCCTGGCAGATATAAACACTATACATGGTTACCAAATACTAAATAAAATATCTATGATTTTCTGGGTACCTACTGTTTTTCAAACATGTCATCGAAGAAAAACTTTCGTATTTCTTTTGCAGAACTACAAAAAATCTACATGTCATATGGACACGGGCATCCCTTGCATGAATCTTAGAAGTCAAAAAGTGGCAGCCAAGACTTTTGGCCAAATTCAGTCATCCCAAGGATATTGTCTGGCCCAAACAGGGCATATTTGTTCTTAAATTAGTAACCAATAATAAATAACAGGAGATGTCATAGAAAATACAGATGTCTGTCTTAGAAAAATATTAACCTCTACGAAACTGAAACCTGTATTTGCTTATCGCAATAATGGGATGGAGAGAAGTACGAGTGCAAGAGCATAACCTCTAGTTCACCACAGGCCCTTGTGCCTGGTCCTGGCGTGCATTTGACTTTGGGGCCTGGATCTGATAGGCCTCTAACTTCTGACATTTCTGAAGAAATGTGAAGGGAGAAGCTGAGTGTGACTGCTGTGAGAAAAACATTACGGACAAAACTGTAAAAATGGAGAGCCTTGCTCCTCTGGTTTTAATAATTTCCAGCTTGTAGGACCACCATCTTTAGATTTTTGAGTATTTGGCTGGTTCTCTAGTTTGCCTAATAGAGGTAAACATTTGTGCACTGGATTTTTCTGTTTATATATAAGTTATGTTTTAATAAGGCAGGGAAGTTTATTTCATGTGGCCAACTATGATAACTCTGATGCAGAGTTAATTAGTAAGACATTTAAGACGATTATTCGTTTAAGGTTGAAAAGTCTTTTAATCCACTTCCTTCAGAGTCTCTTCTAACTCACCCCAGGCATAGAAATCTATTTATTTTAAAGACAGAACATGGAATTTTTCTACAACTTCCATATGTAATCTATGCCAGTGTTTATAAGCCCCATAGCCATGAATTTCTAAATGAAAGTTTTTGCTTAAATATTCATGCTTCAGCTTTAGTTGATTCCTAATTTATATGCTTTCAAACCACTGCATGTTTAAAGACTAGTAGAAATTTACCTTTTGGCCTATCTCTTTCTTGAGATAAAGAATTACAGTTCCACTGATATTTCTTCTTTCCCTTCAACTAATGTGCATTAAGTGACTTCCAAATATTGGGCACCCAGTTCACAACGAACATTCTACAGTTTCACATAATCTTCCTAACATCTCTAGGAGAGAACATTAATCATCTCTATTTCTACATGAAGAAACAGGTCATTGAACCAGTCCAAGGTGACTCAGCCAGTGCACGTTAAGATTCAATGCCTATAATTTTCTTCTCTACTGTGGAGTCATCTGACTACTTTCTTTATTCATCTTCACACCTTCACCGTGTAAGATCACTAGACAGTCACAAATATGTCTTCTAGTCCTAGTGATTCCACCATTTCCTGGGTGACTTTCACATCTCTGGTTCTCTACACTTCAGCTGGAAAACAAGCGGACTGGCATAGATAGTCTCAAGGTTCCTTACAGATCTGTACAGTCTGTTATCCCAATGTCCTCATTAAGCTCACTGGCCCAAAACCTAAGAATGAAAGAGAAAGCTAAGTTGAGATAGCAACTATCAGATGAAGGGTTTTGCTGCCCTGACCACTTCCCCTGCCCGCAAGCAGTGGCTGCCAGACAGCCTGGGCAAGTTTCCATTTGAAAACTTCTCAAGACACTGAACATTCAAAGCCATTAAGTCCTTTCCCATAGTGCGGGGGACTTCACACTCTCTACTCTTATGATTTCCTTCACAGTGATGGGATTCGGGGCAGGCTGCTGCAGAATGCGCCACTTTGGCATGTGGATTATATGGAGCGAAAGACAATTAATAAGGCCCAACAGACTCAAGAAGAAGTTTTTATTTCCCTCTTAAATGTCTAGCCTGTCCAGGAAGAGGGTTATTACCAAAGATAACTGTTTTACATAAGGAAGACTCTTTGGTCTGGCGTGGCAAACATTTGCTCGTCCTGTCTTCCTGTGAATCGTCTTCCTCCCTCTGAAGTTCCAGACCCCTCCCCCCTTTTCCTTAGCTCAGGATGGCATAGAAACCTCAACTGCCTAGCTGTTGAGGAGCTTCTCCTGTCTTTGAGGGGGTCCTGTATGTACAGAACTAAATTTGTTTTTCTCCTGTTAATCTGTCTTACGGCAATTTGATTATTAGGCCAGCCAAAGAACTTAGATGGAGAGAAAAGTTCTCCCCTGCACTAGTGGCACTTCTCGTTTTCTGAAGCAGCAGTTGCATGAGTAAGGCTGACAAATAAAATACGAGATGCCCAGTTATATTTTAATTTCAGATGAACAAAGAATAATCTTCTATTATAAGTATGTCCCAAATACTGCATGGGACATATTTATAGTAAGGAGATCAATCAGCAACTTAATCCTTGAAAACAGGCTCAGAAGAGAACTTCAAAGGTCCTAAAAGCAAGTCCTGAATTGACATACCCAGGTAATTTCCTAATTCATGAGATGGTAACATGAAAATTCTGTAGGAGAAACCAGTGTTTCACAGGCTATCAACACAAGGTCTTAAAACACCCAGTCTGCATCCCCAAATAGTTCTCACCCTGCATAGGACAAGGACCATGTCTTATACTTACTCTATTTGTATTTCCAGCAAAACAAGAAAACTGGCTATTGTTGATGGCATGGTTTTCAAAGGAAAGAAAAAGATTATTTTCCCTAAATTTCCTTGAGAGACTAATTAAAATTGATTTGAAATTAAAAGCTTGACTTTCAAACCATATGTTATTTGCAAAGCATCAAACTCTAACCAGAGTTTTCTTTTAAAGTTTCAGCATTTAACCGAAATCACAAAAGAACTTCATTAAGCACTTGATACTGGAGTTCCCTGCAGAGCAGAGGCACAGCAGTAATTACTATGCCTCCTACGTAAAAGAAAAAAAAGTCATTTAAAAATGAATGTTTCCGAGGACTTCCCTGGTGGTGCAGCGGTTAAGAATCCACCTGCCGATGCAGGAGACACGGGTTCGAGCCCTGGTCTGGGAAGATTCCCACATGCCGCGGAGCAACTAAGCCCATGTGCCACAGCTACTAAGTCTGCACTCTAGAGCCGGCAAGACACAACTACTGAGCCCGCGTGCCACAACTACTGAAGCCCGCACGCCTAGAGCCTGTAGTCCCCAACAAAGAGAAGCCACCACAATGAGAAGCCCATGTACCACAACGAAGAGTAGCCGCCGCTCGCCGCAACTAGAGAAAGCCTGCGCGCAGCAACGAAGACCCAACGCAGCCAAAAATAAATAAATATATTTAAAAAATAAAATAAAAATAAATAAATGTTTCCATTTCCCTCAATTTTGTTCTTTATTTCAATTTCTTCCCAATTGAATTTTAAGTAAAATTAAGAACTGAGAGGAAAGAAGTGGTAAAAACTAGAAAACTTGACAGCTTTCTCAGGGTCAGTATCCTAAACCGTAATTCCTTGCTTAAGAGTGTCCAAAAGGATGGAGGAGCTGGCTGTGGTCCATGATTTAGAAAATGGCTGAGGTCTGCAAACACTGGCGAAGTTCCGCCTTTATACTTAAGTTAAAGCAAGGGTGAGTTTACTGCCAGGGAGGGAGGATGGGGAGATGGGAAGGAGGCAGTTTCTCAAGAGGTGCTGGTCCACCCAAACACACCAGCAGAAAACTGCTCAGTTCTCTTTAAGTACGTGGGATCCGAAAGTGCTTCCGTGACCTTCAGACGACATTGCATTTGCAACCACTAAGGGAATACAGAAGAACACATATTAAGCCCTGAAGCAAAGGTCTTAATTGGCCTCAGGGCAAAACTTACAATAACCACTTTCTGTTTTGACTCTTCTGTTCTCATGCACTACATCAGGGAAAGGTGAATATGACTCATGATTTAAGAATGTGAGTTCCCAGTGCACTGCAGAGAGGGTTGTTTTCCAAAGTCAGCTCAGGAAAAGTAATATTAACAAATAGCAGAGGATTTCCTCTTGACAGAGTCGAGCATCTAGCTCTATGATCAGCTGTGTTATTTTTTTCAAACACATTTTAGAGGCAATTTATTGCATTACAGGGAATTTGGGCTGAAATCGAGGAATAAAACTAAATAAATAATAAAGATGCATGTTCTTTACAAGGCAGAATTGTCCTTCTAGCCCCTTGGAAATCATGAAAATAAGAAACCTGAGAAATAAAATAATCCGTGGCTGACACCCAGTTAGTAGGGA